TTTTTTTTTTTTTTTTTTTTTTTTCAATTCATGGTCTAATCACTCAACCTGATTCCACCGGTTATTTTAATTTTAACATCCTACTTAAATACCTTCTAAGATTATATTTTCAAACTAAAAAAAACTTTTTTCTCAAACAAAAATTATTTGGAGGTGAATTCATATTTTTCCGATACCGAGAGAGATACTGGGGTCGCTCTTGACTTTGTTTTGTGTTTCAAAAAAGATCTCATACGAATGAAGATGGTATGAGAATTGAATTTTTACTCAAACAGTCATTATCTATTTGTTTATGTCTATAGCGTTGTATGAGCCAACTACTATAGATCTCCACTGAGGGCTCACATTTGAGGTTTGTTTGATGCCCAATGATTATGGGACACGACTTCTGAGACCATTTGTTGTGTATTTCATGTCCATGATTTAGATCATAATTTAGAATTCGAATTTGGTATTTAATGGCATCGGTATTCATTCTCAATGATATGACCACGTTAACTACTTAGAAGACTATCCTCACAAACCAATATAGTTTTTTTTAGCATCGGCATGCTTCGTACTTATTCACAGACTACCCAATCGACCATTCTAGAAAATGTTGTTTTCTGAATTCACACTTTTTGGATCACAGATTCTAAAAACAGATTTAAAAACACACTATCAAATGCATATTCACCAAATTGACTACAAAACCGTCACTGAAACTATGAAAGATACACGGTGAATATCAGCCAAATAATTCAAGTACAGTCTGCTCGGATGAAAGAAAATAGATGATTTACTAATACACATCGAACGATCGTAACTGGTTGTTCGGTCTGAATTATTCAACACCAAGAAACTTATAAGATACCTAATAGACGAACCTTAAGAAGATAATATTTGTATGATTTTAAGACCAAACAATGAACTTATCATCAGACAACAGGTTGCAATCACTGGATGTGTATAACCAAGAGAAATCGACAAGATGATTACTCTTCATCACCACGAGGAGGATCTTGGTTCACCACAGTTTCTGAATATGCGTTCAGACTTGAGCGTTGTTGTCCATTGCTCGAACCAGTTGGAGAAGAAGTAACTTCGATTGTAGCCGATAATATCGAAGAGGAGATGGGTCCTTGTGCTTCTTTGGCATCACGTTCTGCTTTTTCCTTGGCCTTTTTAGCCCTTTCTATAACCTCCTCCTGTATATAAAGCTCGTTCAAGTAAGAACATGCCATTTTCAGCATAGGCAGAAAAGAAGAGAGCATAAAAGAGTGTCGGTATTTTAGTCCATAAGGGCATAGAAGAAACCCCACGAGATCGAAACTACAAGAAAGGGCTCTGGTCAAGCGAAATAAGACCTAGCGAGTAATTATGAAAGAGCTCAGAAACAGAGGTCTAGAGAGTAACAGAGAATCTAATAAGAGACCGAACATCGCTAAGAACTCCCGTGCCCTCAAAGAATCAATTGTTTCTCTCGCCCCGACAAGATAGCACACAACCCCGCACTCTCAATATTGAGATTTATTCACCTCATGCATGCCAGTCTAGTTTGAGAGGAAATACCGAAAATGCCAAAATCCCAGCCATAAAAATACCGAAACATAAACCACAAAATCGAGTAAAAAGCCACCAAGCTTAGCAATAAAATGCCAAGCTCCATCTGGAAAACATAATATCTAATACAATCAAAACAATAAGTACTCACAAAAGGAACCTCGTCCAACCATAATGATGCTTATAGCCAGACAGTTTTCATAAGAAACGAAAACTTGGCCGAATGATCTTTAAATTTGACCACTTATTCAAGTTTAGAGCTCAATTCGATGACATTAAAGTTCAAGGTTAAAATTGACTCGCTTAAGAACAGTATAAACGTTTATCTCAGAAACAGTAACCAACATCCCAATTCAGGACTAATGTGCTGCTACAATCAAAAAGTTTTAAGCCACAGCAGTTTCATCAGATACTTATGACTCAAAGTAGTTAATTTCATAAGCTAATCTCCAAGAGAGAAAACATTGCAGAAACACCAACCATGGACCATGCAGCCATCTTTTTTGTTCAATGGTTTTGTATAATTCGCAGTTCAGGAGACCACAATGCAGTAAATTAAAAACAACATTAGGAGATTCTATGCAAATTTATGCCCACATTTTTTAAAAGAAAATGAAAGTAAACTAGTGATTAACCACACAAATTGTAAGCACATGAATATCAGAATCTCGTATCAGTCATCTAAGTTTATCATTTACTTTGGTGTACCCTACCTGGAAATCAATAATTTGTTGTTGTCGTTCAGCTTGCAGCCTACCAATCTCACTCAAAACCTCTCCAACAGTTGACTCGACACGCTCAGTTAAGGTTTCTGCAAAAGCTTTTCCTAAGAAAAAGGCATCTAGAACAGTCCTGTTGTCACCATCGCCTACATCATACAGCTAGCTCATTGCATGCTTGATAAAAGTAACAAAATTCGAAGATCACAGAAACCAAAAAGCTGTTTTTCCTCTGTTTCTACTGAATTTTCTTCTAATAAGATCCATATCATCTTCTTAAACTTGTCTACTTTTTCTCCTTCAATATATCGGTAATGAGGAAAATACAGAGAAGTGAAAATTCTATGAAAAGGGCACATGGGTATTCCACTGTACACATATTTAGACAAAAAGTAGGATTCTTTTTATTTATGATTATCAGTTTGGAATATAATTGAGCAAGTTCTTCATGAAATCAGAGAACAAGAACATGGTTAAAGACCTAAATACAAAAGTCTAATATAAGATCGCCAAAGAGTTAACTGCAAGGAAAATGAATTCCTAGTCTAGAAAACCAATTTGCTTTAACAAGGAAATGCATTGAGTTAAAGAAAACAAACCAAACAAAATGAGGCCAACTTCACACCAAATAAAACCATTGACAATAGATCAAACACCTTGTAGTCAAATAATCAGATAGCTCCACACGAGAAGTAAACCCATCATTGTTTTATGAAATTCAGATAAAAGCCAACAAAAACGCAGAGATTCACTCAAATCTCAGAATCAATAACAGATTCACCAATAACTAACAACAGATTGGAAGACAAAAACAGAGGAGGCGAAGATTAAAGGTACCGGAGCTGCAACTGGCTATGAATCTGAGAGACCCATTAGGTCGAAATTTGAGATTTGAGGAAGTGGATGAGGATCGAAATCGAACGAGAGAGGGAGATGAACAATGGGTAATCTTTGATCTAGTGGGTAGAACTGAGAAAAGGGATGGGGAAACTGAAGATGCAACCCCGCTACTCATTTTGTGCGACGGAATGGAAAATTATCCGGCGCACTTCCTCAACGTTTCTCTCTGAGTTTCTCGACAGCCAAACAGGAATTTATAAGGAAAGATCTTTGGCGGGGAAATGAAACGACAGTGACCCAGAACCCTCCCTGTTTTTGCTCATTCCTTGTTCGACATGCCCAATTGCCGCTTTCGTGGATTGGTATTTGGTACCCTAAATGAATAGAAATTTGGGGTATTTTGTATAAATTTTAAATATGGAAAGTGTGCAGCCTACGTGGCAGTGACAGCAGAGCGCCGCACATGCATGGCTGATGACGTGTTAAGAAGCATTGGCGTATTTGGAGGCCGTTTTGCAGCCCTTTGTTTCAAAGCTGTTTTTTGGAAATTTCATAAGCGTGACATTATCATGATCACATAACTAATATTTTTATAATGTTTATTCAACCCATCAACGTGGTTTAACATATAGTAAATTTTATTTTTTTCACGTTAAATTATAAATTTAGACCGTAAATTTCGTAAATTTTGAGAGTTGTGGGTTAAGATAAAAACGTCCTATTATTATTTTGTGTCTGATGTCGTAAATTTCGTAAATTATTAAAATATATCTTATTTGTTCTTAATCGACTACAAATATTAAATATTCTTAATCTTAATAATAATCTTAAGAGTAACTTAAAATTAGGTTGGGCGGTAACGGTATGATTTGGATTGTTCGAGTTATCGAGTCATTTGAACACTCCTATTTATTCAATTAGAACCATTGCAAATATTTTTCAATTTTAATTTTTTTTTAATGAGTTTTGATAATTTGTTGTAAGGTAAATTTAAATTTGTATATATTTTTTTTATTATATGGTTTGTCTGATTTTGTTCTCCATGATACACAATTTATAATTTAATCATTAATTTATGAAACTTATTGTGGCCCAGGCCCATAAAGTAACCCCATTATCTTACAAGATAACCTATTCGTCACCGCCCACCCAGGTGAAACGCTGCGTTTTGTATTTCCTTCTCTGTGGCCAAGTCTGGCTATAAATATCCGAAAGGATTCGGAAATTCTTCGTCTTTGATCATCTCTTTTGTCTCTGCGCTAGAACTCAGCGAGTTCTTCACGAACTCATCGTCGACCCTACCACGGGGAACTCCATCGGATTCTGCTTTTAGTAAACCCTAATCTTCCATGTTTCATTATCGAATTTTCTTTTCGCTCTTGATATTTCGAATGAGATTCCTGTTTTTGGTTTCAATTATTTGTGATCCGGATTTAATTCTTTGCTGCCCTTGTGTTTGATCCTTTGTTTTTTTTTTTTTTTTTTTCTTTTTGTCTAATCGTTTGATTCCCTTGGTAATTTCGTTTTCACTGTGGTGGCTCGATGGATTGGTTGGTTTGGGTTAGGGTTTGTTTTGGATTTGGGGATCTGATTATTTGAATGTGATTTGGGCCTTTTTGCTTTTAGTTTCTGATTTTGTGTAATTGTTCATGAGGATGGTAGTTAAACTGGATTATGATCAAAATTTAAGGTATCAGAATGAGAATCTATATCGGCTAATTTTCCTTATGCAGCCTGAAATTCAGACTTCGTTTTGGTTTCACTTATAATTTCGTAGCATGGGTAGAGGCTTTGAACTTGGTTTCTTTCTTATGAAAGTTTGTCATTCTTAGGATTTGGGTTGGTGGCATAGCATATGTACACGATTCTATTTCCTCTTTTGCTTATGTCTTCTTGAACTTTGATGGGAAAGGGGGTTTAAGGATTACTTGGAGGGAAAATCAGATGGTTGATGTTAATATAGTCGCCTCCTTTTCTTTTTTATCTTTTTGCGGACAATTCTCATCTGGATTTTGTTGCTCTTGCATATCTTTCATGGCTCTTTTTTTTTTTTGACTCTTTTTTCCCCCGTGTAATGGGGATGTCAAGGGGGGTTGCCTTTGGAATCCGAAGGATGTCGTTAAGAATTTTCCTTTGAAGGATAGTGATATTGTCTGTTTTCACATATGCTTAACTTTTTGGCGAGGGAAGTTGTTTTTTGTTTTGCACGTTTTCTTCTTCCACTGTTGCTGGTTTTGGGTTTGTTGTTTTTAACACTTCGTTGGCAGGGTTTGTATTAGAAATAAAATTGACCAGGATTTATGTGTTTGTTTGATTTGAATTTTCAAATTTAGCACTAGATATGTTTTTTTAATCGACATGCCAATAGCTGTTGAATACATTTTTATTTTGTAGTTGCCTTTTCCTTTCAAAATTGAGATCTTGTATTTATAACCATCAAATTTCTTTTACGCTGCATAAATGCAGGTCAAGGACTTGTACAGACCTTGGCGTCTTGGAGAAGTTGCTAATAGTTTTAGTCAAGGGTGTAGTCCACCAATTACTACTACAGTTACAGTTCTTTGCTTTCAATTAGTAGACCTGTGATTTCGCTTTAATAAAGCCAGAGTAATCATTCTGTAGATTTGAATTGGTAGCACAAATAGAGACTGAGAAGCCTCCTGTAGGAAATATAAAAAGAGCTGCTTCTCTTGGTGAGTAACCATGCAATTGCTTGATATATTTCCGGGTAATATATTTATATGTACGTTGTATATTGCATGTATGGCTACTGTCTTCATCAACTTTCATTTATCTTAGGTCCTCTCTTAATTTGGTTCACATTTTTTGTGTGATATGCAATGGTCAATTTAATGTTCGCTTTGTGTGCACTTTGATAACATGAAATGGATATCTTGATTTTTATTTTCTTTGTGTTACTCTCCTTTGTTAAATTTAGGACACTTTTTTTTTTTGTTTATGTATTTACAATTTACGTGTTCTTGGTATGATGTATCTTTGTTTTGATGTTAGAATTCGATGATTTATTAGCTTTGTGAGTCCTCTTTTTCTCCTTAAAGACCCATAAAACAAACGACTTTTCTTGCTGTTTCTGAATTGTTTTTAGCTTACTGTAAGTATTGTGCTATTGTTGTCAATAGAAGCATTCTGATCTATTAAATATGCTTAGTGATTTACCTAGTGCTCAAGATGGCTGGTGTGAAACGAAGAATTCATAATGATTCAGATATCCTTGCTTTGCATAAAGAATTGGATGAAGTCTCCTGCCCTATCTGCATGGACCACCCACATAATGCTGTTCTTCTACTTTGCAGCTCTCACCACAAGGGTTGCAAACCTTATATATGTGACACAAGCCATAGGCATTCAAATTGCTTTGACCAATTCAAAAAATTAAGAGAAGAAACTAGGAAGAGTCCACGCTTAACAAGTCCTTTACCTATAAATCCATATAGCTTTAGTAGTCCTACAAACAACCTGGGTCTGAGCATTGATTTGAATGAAGTTGATGATAATCAAAATATAAATGAAAGGAACACTGTTGCATCTGCTGGTTTACCTGTTGTAGTTTTAGGGGATAATGGAACTGAAAATTCTAATAGAACTTTAGACTCAAATGAGGCTGGAGATCTGGATACTGCTGGTTCTGGGTCTAATACTGAAAGGGATGAGCAGGAAGGTTTGGGTGCTGGGAACTCATCCGAGTACTCAGATTTGAAGTGCCCCATGTGCCGAGGAGCTGTGCTAGGCTGGGAAGTTATAGAAGAAGCAAGAGAATATCTTAATCTAAAGAAACGAAGCTGCTCCCGTGAAACTTGCTCATTCTCTGGCAACTACCAGGAACTACGCAGGCATGCTAGAAGAGTTCACCCGACGACCCGGCCTTCAGTCATAGACCCATCTAGAGAACGGGCATGGAGACGCTTGGAGCGACAGAGAGAAGTTGGTGATGTTGTTAGTGCCATCCGCTCAGCCATGCCTGGTGCCCTTGTGGTTGGAGACTATGTAATTGAAAATGGAGATGGTGGTATGGTGGCAGCTGAAAGAGACAGTGGCACAGGTGATGTCAATGGGCCATTGCTGACTAGTTTCTTTCTGTTTCATATGTTTGGATCGGTTGATGGTGCTCGAGAGCCAAGGCCACGTTCAAGGTCTTGGGTGAGGCATCGACGCTCTGGAGGAGGAACACCCGTACCAGAGCGCCGGTTCCTTTGGGGTGAAAACCTTTTGGGATTACAAGAAGATGCAGATGAGGATTTCCGCATATACATCGGAATGGGCGATGATGCATCACCACCTACGAGAAGGAGACGCGTAACGAGGCCTGAATCTGATGCAGATCAACCATGAGAGAATTGATCTTCTGTGGTAAACATCTATATGCCCTTGAGTTTGAGGGAGATTTGTTCCAAAATGAAATGGAGTGTGTTTGGTTTCGTGTCTCGGTCTCAATGCCTAAAAACAGGTTAAATTGTTAAACAACCACAGGCGGGCATCCCAGCAATGAACCATCCATCCATCCCATCTTGTTGGGTCGTCTGGAACATCAAGAAATTTGTGCTTCCAAAGTCTCCAAGGGAGGCGTTTAGTTGGCCATCATCTTGATGCAAAATACACCGCCCAGCAATTGGCTCTCAACAAGAAGCAAGAAGCAGCCGGATAAGAGTATTAAGCGTCATCTTTTGGAAGTTCTCAGATGGAATCACAATCCTTTATTTTATTCGAATTTAAGTTCTAAATGATTGCATAATGTCCTTTTCCAATCTTTGTATATAAATGGGATAATGATTTCATTTGATCAATCTAGTGTGATTGTGGTTTTATTTATATATTATCCTATATTTTATTGAAGTGGTTATGTGTTTATTTTCTCTTAATCTAGTGGTACTCCTGCTTATTCGTGTCGCTCGGCTGACTACTAGAATTTCTCAATCTCGTCTCTTATTCAAACTGGGAACTAGTTTTCAGGATCCATCTATTTTGTGACTCATTTTGTCTTTTTGGATCGGCCTATCATAGACGATAAGGGATCCCCCGAATGCCCACCCATCTTATAGAATTTCTTTCGTCACAGCTTTGAAAGAGGGTTTACCACCAACTTTCCGTTATTGTCATGACGTTTTTGTTCCTATTTCGATTAGCAAAATCATTTGAGCAAGGTAGGTCTATATTCACTCTTTTTTGAACTCTCTTAAGGGTTGCAATTTTATGGGAAAGAGAAATGAGACATTGAGAATTACTTTTGTGTTCAGAGAAATCTCTCTCTTTGTTAAGCCATACCAAATTTGCTCAGAAGTGGTAATTTGTGTAAATTTTGGTTGTAAACATGGAACCAGATTCATGGTTGCAAACCCGGAGTTGATGGATAACAAATACCTATTTTAGTGGTAGCCGCCATTGATGTCCTCTCGAGCTCCCTCTTTCCACCAATGGCTGAATTTTCCAACCTCACCTCCGACTCGAAGGACAATCAGTTCTTTGCCTTCGATCCTCTCTCTGATCTCTGGTTCCGCCTCCCCCCGGTGCCGGTCTCTCCTGTCTCCTCCTTCCTTCGCTCCGACGGCTTCTTCTTCACTACCGCGCCTCACTTCTCTTTCTCTCCGATCTTCAATCCCTCTTGGATCGTCACTTCGCCTCTCAGATTCGCACGGATAGATCCTCTCCTCGGAATTTTCCGATCCGGATCCAAGTCGAATCTCCAGTTTATCGTCGTCGAAGGCGTACGACTGCTAGGCGGCCGCCCATTTATCTGTCGAGATTTACGATCCGGACGCTGATTTTTGGGAGCTCTATTCGCCATTGCCCCCGGATTTCAGGTCCGGAATCTCCTCGCGCTCTCTCTCTTCCGCTTTGTTCGAAGGTAAGTTCTACGTTCTCGGAAGTCACTCCTCCTTAGTTTCTTGCTTCGATTTACACGATCATGTATGGAGTGAAGTCCAAACTCTTCAACCTCCTGGAAATATGTTTTCATTTTTAATTTCTTGCACCGACCGCCTTGTTTTGGCGGGACTCTGCAATTCCCCTGCCGGTCCTTCCTTCGTTCTGTGGAAAATTGATGTGGAGACCATGGAATTCCTCGAGATTTCCGTCACGCCGAGCGATCTGCGTGAGAATGGAAATGAAATGCGTTGGACAGGAGAATCTGATCTACGTTTTTAGCGAGGACTATGAAACGAAATATTCAGGGTGTGTTCGTGAAATCAGCCGTGAGAATGTGAAAGTGCAGGGGGAAAAGAGTGCCTCCATTGTCAGTGTGCACAACATTCTCGGCCGAGAGGACGAAGAAGGTCAACATTACTCCTCATTCTGCCATGTCCGAGTGCCATGTCCGAGGTAAGCTTATAAATATTATTTTTCTTTTCGAAGAGAGAGAGAGAAAAAAAAAACCCTATTTAGCAAACTGACTCTCGCACGCCAAGCCTACTCACTCACCAAAGAAGCCCTCATCTTGTCCAAATTCATCGGCTGCCCCCATATCCTGCAGCTCATCGGCCACCAAGTCACCGTCGAAGACGACACCAAGTACAGCGTTTACAATCTGGTTTTGGAGTACACCGCCGGTGGGTCTTTGGATGACCTTATCAACCAACGCAAGAAGCTGCGGGAGGATGAGCTCAAAGGGTATCTTCGTATGATGCTTACAGGGCTTTCTTGCATTCATTCCAAAGGCTTTGTGCATTGTGATTTCAAACCTTCTAATGTTCTTGTTTTTTCCCTCTCAACATGACAAACCCGACCTCAAAATAGCCGACTTTGGTCTTGCAAAGAAGTTTTGGTTATAAATTGAGTTTTAGAGGGACGCCTGAATACATGTCTCCTGAGTCTTTTATTGGTGAGATTACACCCTCCTTAGATATTTGGTCTCTGGGTTGTGTTTTGATTAATATGGTAGCAGTTACCTTGTAAAAAATTTACTTTTCATACTAAAATGAAATAAAACTCGAAATACATTCATTTTCATCCCGAACTATTGATTATAATCCTTTATTGCAAGCTGGGAAAAATGATACCATCAAACCCTGTAGAGAAGGAAGCTGACACTAAAACGTCCTTTCATAAAAACAAGAGAAGGAATGTACATCCCAACAATCTGCTAATCATCAGCACATTGCATCTTGCTCGAATATTACACAAATGTGCAGCGAGGGAGAGGAAGGAACAAGGGATTGGATCGTACACGAAAATTGGTTTTATCAACAAATTCTTCCATTGGGGGTTTCGGGTTGGATTGAATACACATGTACCAACTGCAACATGTTCTTATTCAAACTGAGGGGCCTAACAACTAGTCTTCACCTTCTCAGTTGCTTTCGATTTTAACAGCAGTGGCCTTTCTCGCCGCCCTTCTTTTGACTTGTATTTGGCGAACGCACTCAGCTACTAATACATGGAAATCAGGACGAAGTTTACTAGTCGAGGAGACGTTAAGACCTGCCTTTCTTAAATCTCTAGCTAAACACTTTTCGCCTTTTTGTAGATGACCAGGGCAGTAGCAGGGAACAGTAGACCTTAAAACAGGCTTTGAACATAGAAGTGGTCCGGACTGCATACTGTAAATGAAAGAAAATTTCTTGTTAACGGAAAACAAAAAAAAAAAAAAAAAAAAAAAAAAAAAAAAAAAAAAAAAAAAAAAAAA